CTGCTTCTTGGGAGGAAAGCGATGACAAACCTTGACAGCATCTTAAAAAGCAGAGACATCACCTTGCCGACAAAAGTCCGAATAGTCAAAGCTATGGTTTTTCCTGTAGTGATGTATGGAAGTGAGAGCTGGACCATAAAGAAAGCTGACTGCTGAAGAATTGATGCCTTTGAACTGTGGTGCTGGAGGAGGCTCTTGAGAGTCCCCTGGACTGCAAGGAGAACAAACCTATCCATTCTAAAGGAAATCAACCCTGAGTGCTCACTGGAAGGACAGATCCTGAAGCTGAGGCTCCAATACTTTGGCCATCTCATGAGAAGAGAAGACTCCTTGGAAAAGACCCTGATGTTGGGAAAGTGTGAAGGCAAGAGGAGAAGGGGACGACAGAGGATGAGATGGACAATGTCATCGAAGCAACCAACATGAATTTGACACAACTCCGGGAGGCAGTGGAAGATAGGAGGGCCTGGCGTGCTCTGGTCCATGGGGTCACGAAGAGTCGGACACCACTAAACGACGACGAACTACAGGCTCCTCTATGCTGCCCTCCATTGTGCCCCCCCCAGACACTGCAGGACTGCAGTTCCCATCCTTCATCACCTTTGGCTGGACTGCTAGATAGATGGAAGCTGCAGCCTGAGAACATCTGGAAAGCAATTTGTTGCCCAACTTTTGTTCTCAGTCAGTGGCTCCCAACCTTGGCTAACCCAGTTGTTTTTGCACTGCGATTCCCAGAAGTCTTAACCACCAGCTGTGCTGCCTGGGGTTTCTGGGAGCTGCAGTCTAAGAACACCTCATGGTGGGGAACCATTATTCTCGGTGATTCTAGATGGAGGCCTCATAACCATTCATAAGGCATTATTCCACTAGTCCTTCCCTCTCCACTTTCTTCCTAGTAAGACAAAAAAGACCCAAAGAGGGGGAATTCTATAAAACATGGGAAGGCGGTAATTTGAAGACAATGTGGAATCAAACTATATGAGCCACTGAGTCCACATTCAGAAATGGGGCATTTAGAAGTGGCAGGAGACAAGTGCTTGCATTAGCACAAATGTTTATTTTGCAGATTACATCTGCTCCACTGGAGGATCAGCCTGCTACCCGCTTCTAAATGTAAGCTGAGTGGCTCAGGTGGTTTGATCTATTGACTAGATTTCTCATAAAATCCAAGGTTGGAAAAGTTCCTTTGCCTGGACGAAAGTTAACCACCTCTGGGAAATTATGGGGATTGTACTGTAGTCTGAAAAAGGAACTTCCCAAACTCTGCATAGGCCTAATTTTGAAGCTTCCCTCTGCAGCATGTTTCTCATTCCTCACCACTTCGTTTTTTAAGCCTGCCTCTGTGACATCAAAATAGCCATGGATTGTGTCATCACAATACAAGGATTAATGCCACTAGTGTGAATGAGGTTACAGTATATTTGGAAAAGGAATAATGCCCCACCTCTTTACTTCCTTAGCAGAAGTAAAGACATGCTCAAAAGAAGTGACAAGAGTCCCCTTTAGTTAGTTCAGTTGGAAAGACAGAATTCCACATTTTTCCTTTTTGACAGCTAATTGCAGATTGAGAGTGAGTCAGCAGACATTTCAAATCTCACTGAGGAAGTGTCAATCACTTCATGGATCTGACAGTGCAATGCAACGTCCTACCGGCCTAACTCAGAAGGAAGCCTACTGAGCTTAATGACAATGACAGCATTGCTAGCCAAGTGGGTACAGGATTTCAACTCTGGTTTCTCACCACCATGCTTCGTGTGGCTTTTCTGACTATACTGAAGTGACCCTAAGGCATTAATTGTAGGGTCATCAGTGAATAAATGATTGCATTTCTCATAACTGATTAGGTCTTCAACTGAATCATGAAACAAACCCATCAAGGAGAATTTCCATTTTCATGGCGACTTGTGGTTGTAAGGGATACAAAGAAAACTTAAAAACAAAAAAAAGCCATCTCCTTTTTTAAAACCTGGATTTTTTAAAAAAAAAACTTAAAAAGTAGAGAAGGCCCTTCCTAAGGAGAATATTGGACCATCAATGGCTCTTAAACATTTATCTTCCCAAATTGGTTAAGGCTGCCATTCCTTCCGGCCTATCCGGCCTGAGCTCCCTGTCATTAACAACTCCACAGCAGCCAGAAATCAACAGGGCAGTTTTTACTCATGCTTGTATCTTTGTGCCAGAGGAAAAAAGCAGCACCTGTTGAATTTCTGCTTGTCACGCCATTGTCCAATAAATCCTTGGCGGCGGCAGGAAAAGCCAAGAAGACTGTGAGCGCGGGACGTGTAGCCTCGGACTGGAGACAGAATTCCTTGTGCTCCCATTCTTTTGCGCGGGGCGAGAAAGGCGAGCGCTGAGGCCAACGAAGGTGGCGGCCCCTTAACCTGAGCAGAGGCTACACTTTCTGAGAGGCAAGCTTCGGCTCGGCGAAAAAAGGAAGTGGGGAATGTCCGGCAAGCTCCAACGCAGTAGCAGGAAGGCCCCAAAAATTGTGCGGGCGGGCGCTCGCAACTTCGGAGTCTCTGGAAGTGCTGACTTTGCGGCGTGCCGCCTCCGTGTGTAGGTATGTGTGTTGCGGCGGCGGCGGCGGCGGCGGCTACCGCTCTCCCTTCTTCCCCCGTGCGCGCCTGGAGCTGCGGGCAGAAGCGAGAGCAGGCGGCGCTGTGCATGCTGGGCTCAGATCATGGTGGGGCTTGGCTATAGGAAGCCAAGCAGGAAGGACTTGATGTGTTGCGGCGTAGCTGCGGCGGCGGCGGCGGTGGCGGTGGCGAGCCCCTCACAAGCCCGAGGGGTTCTGCGCGTTGCCTGTGCGCGCCCGGCTGCCTGGAGGGACTTGACTGGAGCGGAGGAGGCCGGAGGAGGAGAGACAAAGTCCCGCAGGCAGAGGCGGGACGGGGCTGAAGGGGAGGCGGAACCGGCGGCGGCGGCGGCGAGGAGGGGGGGAGGGGGAGATTTGGGATCCGCTCTCTGCCGCCGCCCCCCCTTCCCAGTGGCTGATTCTCTGATTCCGCCTCCCCCTTTTGCGGATCTGACTGAAAGGAGAGAGGAGGAGGGAGGGGGGGCCGAGGCAGGAGGGAATTTCCCCCCCCTTTTGCACAGGGGCGCCTCGGTGCTTTTTGTTGTTGGCTGCCTGGGTCGGAGGCGGCGAAGAAGGGAAGGGAAAGGGAAAGAGCGGAGCGGAGCTGGGCGCCCTCAGCACCCGCCAGAGCCGCCGCCGTCGCCGCCGCCGCCTCCCCATTGCTGGGAGATGGTGACATATGAAGCGCGCTGGCAGGACCATGGTTGAAAGGAACAGCAAGTTCCTGCTGATCGTGGCGGGCTCGGTGTGCTTCATGCTCATCCTCTACCAGTATGTGGGGCCGGGCTTGAGCCTGGGGTCGCCGAGCGGCCGCTCGTACCAGGACGAGCTGGACCTTTTCCCCACGCCGGACCCGCACTACGTGAAGAAGTACTACTTCCCCGTGCGGGAGCTGGAGCGCCAGCTGGCCTTTGACATGAAGGGCGACGACGTGATCGTCTTCCTCCACATCCAGAAGACGGGCGGCACCACCTTCGGGCGGCACCTGGTGCAGAACGTGCGCCTCGAGGTGCCCTGCGACTGCCGGCCCGGGCAGAAGAAGTGCACCTGCTATCGGCCCAACCGGAGGGAGACCTGGCTCTTCTCGCGCTTCTCCACCGGCTGGAGTTGCGGGCTCCACGCCGACTGGACCGAGCTCACCAACTGCGTGCCGGGCGTCCTGGACAAGCGGGAGAGCGCCGCGGCCAAACCTCCCAGGTGAGGCGGCGGAGGCGGAGGGGGAGGCACACCCGGGCGCCCAGGGCTCTCGCTTTCTCTCCTGCCCCCTCCCTCCTCCCTCCTCCCCACCATCATCTTCCAGCAAGCGCACGGATAATGTTTTTCGCCCCTAGGGTACCCCTCCACCCGCCCGTAGTCTCCTCACAGCAACCCTGTTGAGGTAGTTTAGGGGCTGAGGCACAGGGGCTTGCCCAAGGTCACCCAGTGAACTCTGTTGCCCGGAGAGTGCCTGCGTCTGATCCTGGCTCTCCCCAGGTCGGCGTCTCACGTGCTGTGAAGCGCTGCGCCCGCCTGTTTACACGTCCTGTTCCGAACCACTGAAGGGGGTCACCTGCTGCTTGGACCCCCTGCTCCAGTCGCCTTGGCTACTCATTGCCTCAGGTCCCTGGCCTTTCCCACTGCCTGCTGATGCTCTGCGCTGTTGCTCGGCAGACTGTGTGAGGGCAGGTTGGGATGGGAGTTCACACCTGGCTTGGTCGTCCTCTCATTCATGCCTCCAGCAAAGAGTTGGCCTGGCTCCTCCGACGATATTTACTGCGCTGCTGCTGCTGCTTAACCCCCTGTGGGCAGCTTTTGGGATCAGGCTGGAAAGGTAGTGAGTGGCAAGTTAGGCACATGATTGCACGGCTTTGCGGGTTGCGGGATTCTGTTGCCTGTGTTCACTTGGCCCGGGCTCTCGACATGCCAGTTCAGTCCTGTGAATTTGTCCTCGGAACTCCTTTCATGCACAGTGTTTAATAACTGAGTGAGTCAGTCATTCATCATTTCATGCTGCCGGTGCTTGGGAGGGAAAAAGAAGGAAACCATTGCACCTGTGTAACTTCCGCCTGTCACATCAACTGATAAGTACATGATAGGAGTTCTGAATGGTGGCACTCATATCTACTGTCGCCTGTACATTTTCATGCTGTGCCCACTGAACCTTTCCTATGCCCCAGGTGGAAGCATACCTGGCAATGTCTATTTATCTCTTTGTCGAGTAAAACTTTATACAATTGCAACCCTTCACTGGTCCTTGTTGTCCAGCGCTTGCCTTCTTAGTATGAGCTTAGCCTTTAACTCCACTTTAAACATGCCTGCATGGATCCCACATTTACAGACTAACTTTAGAGAAGGGAGGCTCTTGACTATGTGCAGAGTGCTGATCACAGGGAGGCCCTTCATATGGGGGGAACAGGTGGCAGAAGCTCTGGCTTAAATTGTCTGATTTGATGACAGCTCTGTATCCATGAGTTTCTGCTTTACTGATGAAGTAGTTCTTCTCTTCCATCACAGTTCTGATGCACTTGCAGCTCCATCCCACCAGGTCTAATTCTGGGATTCCCACATCACCTGCATACTGCATAAAGGCCATGCATGCTGGACCTTGAATCTTGTCTACCACAGACTTTTCTCTTATTCTGTAGCCTATGCCTCACAGTCCCGGCTCTTCTAATTCTCAGGGCTGTTCTTCCTATTAACAGGCCACGTAGTCAAGCCATACTATACTGCGTATTGCTCAGTTCCATTGTATTCCTAGTTCTTTGACTTTCTGTGCCACTAATATTTCCAGATTTGACATCTCTTGTGTTGCTTTTCCCTTTTGCTAAACATTGTCTTTGTAGACTCCTGGCTGTATGTATTGTGCTATACTAGTAGCAGTTTTCACTTCTGCTGATTGTTCTCTCACTCAAATAATGTTCAGTTTATATCATTTATTGAGTGTTCTGCATTCTTGCTTTTTCACTTTTGTCTTCTTCTGTATGAATGTTTTTAAACCTAGCAGGTTTACTCCTAGATAATCTTGTTGGCTATACATCTGCATTGCTATCATGCCTTGTTGTCCTGCCCCGAGCCCCCCATGCCTTCCTTTTAGATGGCTCAAAGCTACCGGGTTGCAAAGACTCTTTTATTCCTGACCTGGCTGCACATACATTTCTTATCAGATATCTGCAGACTGCAACCACTGAAACACCTATCCTTTCCTCCTCCTATCTTTCCTTGTGATTTCTGTTCTTTTTACCTGGATTGGTGTGGTTCCAAAAAGCTCACTAAACCTCAACATTTAAGACCATGCTGTTATCACCCGGCATTTTCCCCACTTTATTATCACCCCACCACCCTGCCCACCAATGTGCTTCCATGTACATCGTTAGTTAAAATAAAACTCTCCCCCTTTCCAGCTACTGTTGTGACATCTCCTTTCTGTCTTTCTTGTAGTATCTACAGGAAGTTTAAGTCAGTCTTTATCTTGAGAACTGTTTTTATTTCTTAGAATCATGCTTGTAATTCCTTTCTTCCTCATTTTAATATCTCGGAGTCCTATTCAAAGAGCTATTGTTTTGTCAGCATCTTACCTACTAGATGTAAATCACCGATCATTACTACCCTTTGGAGCCTTTGTTCCAAAGTTTAGCTCTCAGAACGCCACAGGATTTTATGTTCACATTTGTTAATGCCATGTGCTGTTCAAGTATATTGTTAATATCCTTTATAATCCTTCCAGTGAGTAGGCAGCCTTGAGTAGCAGAAAAGGGGATTTCCTTCCCTCCCCCCCCCAATCACTGCTGCTATGCCAATTCCTTCTTCTCCTTTTGCCCCTTGTTCAGTGTGTGGTGCTGCATGGAGCTGTTAATTATATTTATTGATTCTGCTGTTGCTATTTCTTAAAAATGCATCTTGGTGAATCTCAGCATTAGTCACTGTGAAGCTGCCTTATGGTTTACTCTAATGCAAGCTGATTCATACATATCAAAAGAGGAAACTTACCCTAAACAGGCAAGTCTGTTCAGGTTTCCTTTCTGCGAGACAGATATGTGCAAATACTTGCAAACAATGCTGCCCATGTTTACTGTATTGACATTTGGTGAAGCATGGTAATGTAGCAAAATACCTTGCAAAGTTAAAACCATCCAAGGGTTTGTGTTCTTGAGCCAAAGGGGGGAAAACTGAACTTTGACTTAGAGATAGTAAATCATTAACTGTGCATAAAGACCAGTACATACATAGTTTTATGAGTAGGTTTCAGTTGCCTCTCTTCCTCTCTTAAATTAAAATGGATATGTTGATTTTGAAATGATTTTCTTTTCTTATAAGAATGGCATAGCATGAACACAGAGAAAGAGCTGTACTACTTCTTCGCAGGAGAAGCAGTGACCACTAAATAATTTGCTTTGGTGAAATAATCCAAGAAAATTCAGGCATGCTTTTAAAGGCTGTGGGTATGGTGCCTTTGAGAATCTAAAAGATTCATTATCTTGGCTTTGCAAGGATTCTTGCTCAGAGACTTACCTTTCTTTGGCATCTGATACAACTTAGCAATCACCCTTTCATACAGCTTGATCCCATTGAATTCAATGGTACATGTATATGAGAGAGCAGCTGTGAGATGATATATCGTGCAATGGCAAATAGAGAATGTTGTCCCAGTACACACGTTCTGGTGATCAGGTGGTCTTTTTTTGTTTGCCTTCTCTCTCTCTCAGATGATCTCAGAAGGTCTAGATATTCACTCGTGAAGAACCTTTGGTAATGTGGAGGTTTAGTAAATCTGCTGCTCATAACTGGCTTCTATTAATATGCAATGTTCTGGCCACTCATTTACTCTGTATTGGGGAATAATTTTGACAATAATAAGCAAGAACTGCTGTCTGACTTCGTAATACTGTCCTCTTGTCACATAGGCCTATTGTACTGCAGTCTATTTCAGCATGTCCACAGAAAGATAACATTTCTCTTGCTTGTAATGAAATCTGGCTTCATAAACAAAGGCTGTTTATGTAAAACCACTGGTGGAGCGAATTTCCTTTGTTGGGATAGAAAAGGGATTCGTTCTTGCATTATTTCCACTACAGTGGTGACTGTATCACTTCATTTCCCCCCTCTGAATAATGTATCTGGGGTAATGGAACGGCCTGTGCTTTTCATGTCTGCCACACATTACAGAGCCTGCTGAGAGGAGGAAAATTCATTGGATGATACCTTTTTCTTAGATCAGCTGTTCAAAGTATGTCTGAGATATTGAGATTCGCAGAGCTCTTACCCTGTTGAAATTGTGTTTGGTGCTGACATTTTTTATTTGAAAATAGCCAATAGGAATGTTACTCCAGATGTGTTTCACCTTCACACATAAACAGACATATTAGAAAGTAACTTCTATTCAGTAATGCAAAGTATTAACCTTTTAGGCAGTAACCTGTACATATCTATCCAAGTTAGGAGCTTGATTCCCCACCATGCCTCTTTGATAAGGACTGGACCTGATGATCCACAGGGTCCCTTCCAGCTCTAAAGTTCTAAGATGTTGACAACAACACTGTGTAGTTCAGTGGGAGAACACACACACACACACACACACACACACACACACACACACACACAGAGAGAGAGAGAGAGAGAGAGAGAGAGAGAGATGTATATAAAGATCGCTGCCTGATTACCCTTTTTTCAAGTGCAGCTGCTAGCTTTAGTGCTCTGAAATGAAGTAGCAGACTCTTCCATTCTGTACTGCATTACTCATTAATGTGTCTATTTCAGTCTATTGCATTGATGCTGGAGGTAAGCGGTACGATTACTGTATGGAGAGAAAAAAGTGCTCAGGTTTTTCTAATGTACACTGTCAGAGTCTTACAGGTATTCTTGAAGGTCGTTCAGGAGTGGTCATAAATACACACAAATCATGAGCTAAAAGACTGTTAACCTTGTAAGCAGTGTCATTCTAACATAGCTAAGTGCATCCTTGCACTCCCTTCTGTAGCTTGTGCAAGCTACACACATTCATGATAGAATAGCTATTGTTGTTTTATTCTCAGGCTGGGTCTGATACTATAAAGGCCTTTTTCACATGGGACACTTAATCTATTCCTTGTACAGTCAGTCTTGTGAAAAAGAATGTACACCCTCTTTCTTGAGGGAAAGTACATGGTTTTACTTATCAGGGCATAATAAAAATCATCTGGTCCTTACCAGGTCCCTTTTTCTTTTATGGTTTAGGAAGAGCA